AGAATTCAAGAATCCCACCCCTCAGCTAGAAGTACGACTGCAGTAAATGGGAAGAAAAGTCCGAGAGTTATCTGGACTTACGTTCAAACTGAAGCCGTCGAAAAATCATTTTCCGAGTAGGTTACAGAAAGCTGAAGAAGGGTGGAGGAAAAGCCGCGCCAAGTAGCATCGCAATGACGCGTATCGATAGGAGATCAGGCCGGGATCAATACCCGTCAAACCCAGACGAGCCTTACACATTCAGAACATAGGAGGACGTCTCTTAAGAAGTGCTCGATCAAGCCCCAAGAGTCTCTCCTTCCTTCCTCTATTCTACCTCCCATCCCCTTCAAAGATATCTGTCTTTCTTTAATGGTACAGTAGCTGTCGCTCTTCAGAGGTGCAAGACTCATCCTTATTCATAAAAAGAAGAGGAATTCGACCTTGATGAGCTAAGCAACTTGTCTTTTTTAAAGAAAACCGGCTAAGAGTACAGTTTTCTCCAAGAGGTAACCTCGATTAGGGAATTTCTATGTTATACAGTTCCTTTCCAGCCTTATTACTTCTACGGTTATACAAAAACAGGAACTCTGGTTCATAGGAACTCTGGTTTTGATAGATAGGGCTACGACATCATCACGACTATTTGTTCTAGCCAGGACCCATAGCTAGCTTACTGTAAGACAAGAGCTCTCAAACAGAATTGCCGCTTATTTAATACGAGAAATGCTACGGCAAGCAAATAGCAACCACCACAGGTGTTCCTGAGTTTGCTTATGTTTTTCGTCTTAACGAAATCTCAATTGCCTTCCTTACAGTTCTTTCTGGTGGTCTCACTATTTACTTATCTTATATTGTTGTTGTTTGTCAAATTGTGTGTGTTTTTTTTACCGTAGCAAATTGATCAACTTCTTTAATGAGTAAAAAGCAAAGAATCACGCTAACACGATGGGGAGGCGATTTCGTTTCGAAGATCCTTCTCTAAAATGAACATCCCAATCACTTCTGAGAAGAATCCTTCGGAGAATTAACACGTTCTGCATATTTATTCGTCCTTGCGATGCTATGGTGCTGTGGTGCTACTGCTGTTGCTGTTATGGAAATTTTCTCACCTGCACCAAAGGTCACGCTGCGCAACCGCTCGCGTCTCTTCACGGAGCTCTCATACTACGTTAAATTTTACGAAAAATCTCTGACATAAAAATAAACTAGAAAGGAGACTTAAGCATCCGAATATTTTACAGTTTGTAAGTAAGAAACGACATAGATCTCACTCCATATTTTAAAAAAAGATTAATATAAATAGTAGTTATTACTGTTTACAAAGTGATGTCGTCATGAGAGGTCAAACTTGTTGGCCAGCTTTCTGAAGACCTTTCGGACTCGGTCCCTTCCAGAGCGAGTAAAATTGTTCCATTGATCGATAAATAAGAGATTTGTTAAGGGATCGTAACCCAAGTACCGATTCTCGCTATCGACCAGTGCCGGCTTGATGTCGATGATTTCGCACTTTGAGCACCTGGAAGAGAGCTTATTATACTTTCAATGCATAAAACGCTTCTATTGACTTTCGATCAAAGTAATTATTCAAACACTTCTCGTACACAGAAAGGAAAATTCAGAGCAGGCACTCGATTACTACAGAGAAATCGGCGTGAAATAAAATGCAATGAATGCAGGGTTTCACAGTCAACATGATTAAAGTCAGACGGATAGTCCAGATTCATAGCTACAGTTCAGGGTATTTCTTAGGCACAAGAGCTACTGTGTTCAACTCTTTACGCAAGTGCACACTGCTGAAATCTCGTCCAACATCGTCTTAATCATAATCTCGTACAAACTTCAAACTTGTATAGTTCTAAGAACCCATAGCCTTCTCTCTTTCTGCGGATTTCATCGCTTCGGACCAAGACTTCCGTTAAATGATTCAAAACAGGCATCTCAAGATGTTTGCGCCTTTAACGAATCGAAAAAATCTTGGGCGAAGAGGAAAGGGTGGGAGGTACTCTCTGTCACCAACACTATGCGCTAGGAAGCAGAAAAGGAAGGTAGCAAACAAACCCTCCCAATTATGCTACGGCCAAATGCACAGATAAAAAGCACAGAAAATAAAATAAAAGAAAATAAAGAACAAAAGAAAACGAAGAAAATAAAGAACAATAGGCAGGCCCTCACCGTTTTTTCAGCTCTTCGAGTCGCTTCCGTGTAGAAATTTCGTCGTTTTTGACTAACCTTTCCTACAATTTGTATTATCAACTTATGAAATGCGCCAATTCATGTTTTTCCACAGAAATTTTTCCACAATTATATCCAATTCATGTAAATTGCTTCATAGGACAGCTCTATCAGTGAGCATCACAAAGTTATACATGTGCTTGGACAAGTACATAGAGATCTAAAGATGTAATTTAATCCCAGTGCAGACCGGAAGACGAAAAGAATGGGTAAAGCTAAGCAGCGGACCAGCGCTTTTGTTGAGAAGCCATCCGCAGTGGGTGGGGCGTTCTCCAAATGGGCGGTGCTATCTACGGAAAACAAAGTTTGCTTCTCATACGTTTGGGTTCACAACCGGACTTCAGTATGGCCAGAAGGATGGAAAAATTTGGGAGGGGCATAGAGAGTAACATTGCTCACGCTATAATTCCTTCCACTTTCTCTTCCTATGGTAACTATGTAGCTAAGTTGCGAAACTCAGATGGAATAAACCCAGGACTAGGGTAGGTGGTGGCACTTTCGAGAATTCGGAGACCGTTTCAAAATAGGCATTATTCAAGCCCATGTTTTTTTTTCTTTCGAATGGCATCACTTCTTTCTCATTAAATTGATTTCTTCGCAATTACACCTAGTCCGCCAGCTCCTCTCGGCCAGCTCCCGCTTCCATTCAATCGATTCTTATCGGAATCACATAAGCAGCGCCTTAGCCTCCCAAAGTATAGCTCGATACTTCGATTACATCATTGCAGCATTACATTAAAAGATGAAGAAATAATCCCACCTTCAATTCTCGTATAGATTTATGCGTATAGATGAGGTCGTAATTATTTCGGTTCAACGTAGGTAGGGCTTGTAAAATGTATACCTTAAGAAAACTCTTTCAAAATTCAGTACCAAAAAAGGTATGGAAGACAGCAGTTATTGCTAACAAGAAGATATCTGAACCTTTTTTGCAAATTTCTCCATGTTTTGCAGTCTAGCCAGCTGTTCGCGAAATACATCATCTTCGTCTATCTTTTTTGCTGCATCGGGCATCACTCTTTTGGACACTATGTGGCTGAAATATGTCTTCATTGGATCAGAAATATCCTTTTGCAACTTTCATATATAATTTGACTAGAAAATATTCGTGAACACACATGTCTCTTTCTGAGCTGAACCTAATACCAACCTTTGAAGTACGAAAATCACCTCCGGTTTCAATTCGTTCAGCATCGTCATATAGTTCACAGCGATCTTACACTTCCCTTTTTGATGTTTCGTCAACATATCGCACCCTGTGTTTATGTGTTAAATTACTTTATTTATTATCGAACTTCTACTAAACTACTGCCAGCTTTTATTGAAGCCCGAAAAATTCAAGTATAATAGGACCCCAATGAGGGACGCTATCGTTGCGACGTGGACTGGTCAAAGTTTTGCAACCGTGCCGCGTCCGCGCGCGTCGCAAATAATGTTCCTCAAGTCATAGAATTGATTAGTTTTATGATTGTCGGAGATGTATTATCACTCAGGAACACAACAATATTATTTACGTAAACTACGAAATTGCTTAATATTTTTTAAAAATGGCTACTACATACCTTTCAATGAAAGAATGTCGAAATGTCTTGCATGTTTTTTGAAGGCATTATAAACGACTGGTCCAAGATTGATAGCAAGAGTGTCACCTACGACGAGCATATCATGCGAACCGTCACCATCCTACAATACAAGCGTTAACAAATCACCTACGACGAGCATATCATGCGAACCGTCACCATCCTACAATACAAGCGTTAACAAAACCATGATTTTTTACAATCTTATACTACTACATAGATGCATAAACTGATTCCACAGTTGCCAGATATGATCACATTGTTTCTTTGCACGAAAAAGTTTCCTAATGATCAATCCACATCCACGCGAAGCTCAATTGGTCTATCAGTGGAAAAAGTCGCAATTTTTTTAAATACCCACTTGACTTAACAGTTTGGGGGATTTAAATCACCTACGACGAGCATATCATGCGAACCGTCACCATCCTACAATACAAGCGTTAACAAAACCATGATTTTTTACAATCTTATACTACTACATAGATGCATAAACTGATTCCACAGTTGCCAGATATGACCACATTGTTTCTTTGCACGAAAAAGGTTTCTAATGATCAATCCATATCTACGTGAATCTCAATTGGTCTGTCAGTCGGAAAGTCGCAATATTTTTCTAGATACCCACTTGACTTAACAGTTTGGGGGATTTAAATTCACAGGAAATTGGAAAGGAGAGGAAAGTAAATCGATAAAGTCTGAGTTGCCCGTCATGATTGAAGAAATCACCAATTCTAGCTGAGTCTCATATCCACCCCTAGTGCTTTCTCATTGGCACAACGTAAAAATTTTCAGGAATGATGCTTAGAAAGCTCCATAGGGTAGAAATCAAAGAGGACATTTTTCCCTGCGTCAGACTTCACCCAGTTGGCAACAGTGCCAATCCCTGACTTGTGGGAGATTACGAGCTCTGCATGTCTGTGTAATTATACGAGTTATAAAGACGGCATTAGCATTACACTATTGCTGGGCCCTTTCTGAGTAGCACTTCTGAAAGATGGATTTGGAGAAAGTTACGTAACTGCTCCGGCAGAGCCGCCTTCTCAGGAGCGCTCTTCCATCACTTTATGAGTGAAACTTTTTCGTGCAAGACTACGAGATATTGGAGGGAACAGTTTTCAGGGCCATATAGGATCTTTTGAGAGCAAATTCAAAATTGAGATAAATTCAAAACAATCGAATAAATAAATATCACCTTGAGTTCGCATAATCCGAACGGTGATTCCGCACCGAGCACAAATCGATCACTCAAGCGGGCACAAACCGATGCGTTCATATTCCTGAGCATGTCGTTCTCAATAAAGTTCTCGTATCGAGAAGGATCTGGAAAAATATGCATAGCGCTTGATCGCCCACTTTGAAAAGAATTGTTGTAATAATGAAAAGACATTTAGAAGTCGTGGCGCTCCTAAATCGACTTTCGAGGGAAACCCAACTTCCACATTTTCACAACACCAACAAAAATGGGAACGTCCTCGTAATACTGGAGGATGGAAGTAAAGGAAGTTCTTTCACTGAGTTGCCCTAGAACCAAATTATGAATCTTCGTGATAAGCGCCTCCCACTTGTAAAGGCTCCACCCAGCGCCAGTTCGATATATCCTTTGATCCACAGCTGCTTTCTACTTGTAATTATTGCCCATTCAGAATTTACTCATATCCCGAATCTTAAAAATACTATT